TAGGACATTGTGCCCTCCAAATCGCCTTTCCTTCTTTTTCTTTTTTTGAGATGGATTCTCACTCTGTCACCCATGCTGAAGTGCAGTGGTGTAATCTCAGCTCATTGCAGCCTCTGCCTCCAGGGTTCAATCAATTCTCCTGCCTCAGCCTCCTGAGTAGCTGGGATTACAGGCATGCGCCACTACTCCGGGCTAATTTTTGTATTTTTAGTGGAGATGGGGTTTCACCATGTTGGCCAGGCTGGTCTCGAACTCCTGACCACATGGTCTGACAGCCTCGGCCTCCCAAAGTGCTGGGATTACAGGTGTGAGCCACCGCACCCAGCATAAATTGCCCTTCTGAACATGGTGTGGTATACCTTTGAACCTGGCCATAATCAGTATGTTTAAAGAACTACACACACACACACACATACACACACACACACTCATCTTCTGCTAGTGCAAGAAGTATCTCTGGAAGTTAAGGACCTATCCTGACTGAAAAGTTGAAGCACTATTTTCCACAAAGAGGCAAAGCCACAGGCTTATTTAATCGGATTTGAGGTTGTGCAGGGGTGTTTTGGTCATCGAAAGGGATTTTTCTGTTCTCAGGACATAAAAGTAACTGCTATGAAATACAATTTGGACTTGACTATTTTGTCACAAGAAATAAACATCATCTGCTGGCCTGATGGCTTGAAAGCCTCTCTCTAAACGACTTCTGCCAAAGGCGTTGAAATGTTTGCTTTCAGGCTGGATTCAACTACCAGGATATTTAGAGACGTACATGTCATAGCCCCAAGAAGCAGATCCCTCTCTTGGTGAAGATAAACCTGCTTTCTGGAAGCCACACAAATATGGATTTGGTCCCTTCCTCCACCCCTGCTCCCCGTAAATTTTTTCAAAAGCAATTGTCTGGCCGGGCACGGTGGCTCACGCCTGTAATCCCAACACTTTGAGAGACCGAGGTAGGGGGATCATGAGGTCAGGAATTTGAAACCAGTCTGGACAACATAGTGAAACCCTGTCACTACTAAAAATACAAAAATTAGCTGGGCATGGTGGCGCATGCCTATAGCCCCACCTACTTGGGAGGCTGAGGCAGGAGAATCACTTGAACCCGGGAGCGGGAGACAGAGGTTGTGGTGAGCCAAGATCAATCACACCACTGAACTACAGCCTGGGCAACAGAGCAAGGCTCCGTCTTAAAAAAAAAAAAGTAAATGTCTGCTTTTCTCGGTTACTACTCTACATGATGTACTTTTAGAATTAGGCCTAGCAAAGGCTGAGACAGGGCCTCAGAGCTCTTGCTCCACTCCAGTGCTGTCCAGTGGAAATATAATGCAAGCCACAGATGTAGTTTTAAATTGCTTTAGTAGTTATGTTTAAAAAGTAAAAGGAGGCCGAGGCAGGTGGATCACGAGGTCAAGAGATTGAGACCATCCTGGTCAACATGGTGAAACCCCGTCTCTACTAAAAATACAAAAAATTAGCTGCGCACGGTGTTGTGTGCCTGTAATCCCAGATACTCAGGAGGCTGAGGCAGGAGAATTGCCTGAACCCAGGAGGCGGAGGTTGAGGTGAACCGAGATCATGCCATTGCACTCCATCCTGGGTAACAAGAGCGAAACGCCGTCTCAAAAAAAAAAGTAAAAGGAAACAGTTGTCACTCATTTTAATAACATATTTTATTCAACCCAGTATATCCAAAATATGTAATCAATGATTAATGAAATGTTTTTATTTTTTAAATATTAAGTATTTAAAACCCAGCACATCTCAACCAATCACATTTCAGGTGCTATGGGACACGTGACTAGTGACTACTGTATTCAACAGTGCAACTCCAGGGGCAGTGGTAAATTCAAATCCCAATGGGGTTCCTTCATAGTAGTGTGACCTCAGACAAGTTACTTAAGCTCTCTGAACGTTGGTCTTCTCATCCAAAAAATGATAATGATGTTTACCCACAGAGGGGGTCTGAGAATTAAATCAGTTAATCCAAGGAAAGTACCTGGCACATGATAAGTGGTCAGTGAATGTGTTGTTCAGAGAAGTATAATTATTGTTGATTTTACTGTCATCATTATGACTGTTACCATTGCTACTGAGAAAGTGAAACTTCATCTGGTCTATTGTCGGATTATCTCATGGAAATGGAAACTGTAATCAGGTTCGCTACCGCCAAGGTCCTGGGGCATTGAGCAAAGACAACCAAAGGAATAAATTGTATTTTTACAACCCTTAAAAAGTAAAAAATCCTTTCCTCCATGTTATTTCTGTAATAGTCAAAATTAAGTTGGAATGTAGAGACAGTTTTATCTTCTGTATGGTTAAGGAAAGTAAGATTCAGAAAAGTTACTTGGTAAAGTGTTCAGGTCAGGCACAGTGGCTCACACCTGTAATCCCAGCACTTTGGGAGGCCAAGACAGGTGGAACAGTTGAGGTCAAGAGTTCGAGACCAGCCTGGCCAATATGGCAAAAAATTAACCAGGCATGGTGGTATGCCTATAGTCCCAGCTACTCAGGAGGCTGAGGCAGGCAAATCATTTAAACCTGGGAGGTGGAGGTTGCAGTGAGCCGAGACTGCACCACGGCACTCCAACCTGGGCAACAGAGTGAGACTCTGGCTCAAAAAATAAGTAAATAAAGAAAGAAAGAAGAGAAAAGTTAGGTAAGGTGTTCAAAGTAATTCAGCCAGGCCAGGAGAGCCTGGACTTAAGTACAAGGCTATCATCTGCAATGCCATTTCTCTAAGAACGTTCTGTAAACCTTCAGAGCCTGCCTGGCTGGAGTCCCACAGGCCTAGTCAGAATGCTGGGTCTTCTGCTCATTGTGCATCCCAGGCAAGATAGCTGACCTTTCTGTGCCTTGCTTTCCTCATCTGTAAGGTGCTAATAATATCAGCTGTATGGGGAGTAGGGAAGACTAAGGTGAAATGTGGTAGGTTTGCAGGGTCAGTAGCAGGGTGTGTCACAAATAGTGAACATCTACTATATGTTGGTTGCCTAAACCAACACTCCTCACTGTACTCTCAAGGCAGATACTCAGTTGATTGGATTGTTGGTGTGAACTTTGGATAGAAACTATCCATGGCCAATGTTTTGAGACTGCACTTACTTAGATCAGAAAATCTCTGAAGATCGAGGGTGAATCCTGATGAATGTTCTTAACTTCAATGAGCACATCTGGCTTCACATGTTTTTCTTTTGCTATGAAGCTTGTCTCATCCCACGGGATCACGTAAAGAGGTCTCATCTTGAAGCCATCCCTGCCATTCGGCTAGCAGACATTATACTTAGCTCTTCATGGAATGCATAATGAGAAAAAAATTACTGAATATCAAGAGAAGTGTGGCCTAATGTCTTGGCAGGGCACACATGGCTCCCTCCCATGGTACAGTTGAGGGGAATTTCACAAAAGTATAGAGTTGTTTATAAAAATGCAGGCTGGGTTAAGGGAAACCAGCAATGGGTGGGTCAGAACTTTGTGCTTAGCTACAGAAGGGCTGTATCACCCCAACCTTGAAGGGGAAAGGGGACGAAACCAGGAAATTCCTAGAACTGGAGAGGATAGTTCTCGCTGTACTTGAGGGCGGCCTCACAGGAGGTGTGGCCTTCAGTACAAAGACACCATCAAACTGCAGAGGAAGGAGCAAGAGAAATGAGCACTGTGGCCTCGCTCTCATATTTCTTAACAATGTCTCTGACTGCATTTAACAGAAAGTCAGAGGGCAAGGGAGCCCGCTGATGAAGTCTCTGCCCAGAGCTTGGTAAGGAATTACAGAGAGTGGACCTGGAGGGGCAAATGGAAAACATCCAACACAAAAACACCATTTGGTTTGGGTCTCAGAGCCTTTCCTCAATAACTCCAGCTCCTCAACTTGGGTGATGTTTTGGAAGAGAACATAATCAACCTGTTGCCCTTCAAGTTCCACTCTCCTGAAGGTTAATGTGCTCACAAGAAATCCTCTTCCTTTCCAAAGTCCGATGGAGGTGGGCATGGTATTTTATGGTGAGCAAGAGGAAAGATGAATTTCACACAAACTGAAGTGTTGGTCAAAATGTCTTACTCCCAGGATCTGATTTTTTGAAGCTCTGCCTGATGTATTTCAAGCCTTAAGGTAAGGAAAAAGTTAAATCAGTATAAAGAAGCCACCTCCAAAGAAGCAGTGCTAAGGACCCATACCATTTGTTTGTACACATGATGAGACCCTGTGAAACCACAACAGCCCATAGATTTAGTGCTCTTAGTGCGCAGGGTTAGAAAACGAAAGGATGGGAAGGAATTGGTCCTTTGTGATATTGTAACCCCGACAGAAGTAGGTTCTGTTTTTTCACATGTTTCAACTGACTGAATATAAACAATGCTTGGCTGTGTTGTCAAGAACATTCAGTTTTGTAGAAGTTGAGATTTTTGGTCATCTCTAGTTTTAAAATGGAAAACCTCCCTTCAAAAGGAACATGTTCACTGATTTGCTTACTGCTTCTCTTTTAAAAACTTTTGCTGATTATATGTCTAATACCCTATGTGGAAAATTTGAAATCACATAACACACACACACACATACACACTCTTATAATGAAATATCGGGTATCTTGTAATCCATCTGACAAAGATATCTGCTGATAATTTCTTAGTAAATCTCTGTGTATGTTTGGTTTGTATAACTATTTGCCTTTAATCTTTACACATTTGGGGTTATACTATAATTGTTCTGCTTCCTCTCAGTCTCTAATAATCTAGAAGAATAGTTCTTAATCTGGGACATATATTAAAATCAATTACAGATTTTATTTTTTTAAATAATTTTAAAACTGAAATAGAATAAGTCATCCCCTGAAAGTGATGATTCAGTAAATGTGAGGTGGATCTTGAGCACTTTAAGATTTTTTTAAATTTCTTTATTTTTTATTTTACTTTAGGTATATACTACATCCAGCATTTCTCCCCATGTTATCCCTCCCCACCCTCTCCACCTTTCCCACCCACTGCCGTCCCTCCGCTAACCCCCCAACTGCCCCTAGTGTGTGATGCTCCTCTCCCTGAGTCCACGTGTTCTCATTGTTCAACACCTACCTATGAGTGAGAACATGTGGTGTTTAGTTTTCTGTTCTTGTGTCAGTTTGCTGAGAATGATGGCTTCCAGATTTATCCAAGTCCCTACAAAGGATGTGAACTCATCGTTTTTTATGGCTGCATAATATTCCATGGTGTATATGTACCACATTTTCTTTGTCCAGTCTATCATTGATGGGCATTTGGGTTGGTTCCAGGTCTTTGCTATTGTACACAGGGCTGCAATAAACATACATATACATGTGTCTTTATAGTAGAACAACTTATAGTTCTTTGGGTATATACCCAGTAATGGGGTTGCTGAGTCAAATGGAATTTCTATTTCTAGGTCCTTGAAGAAGTGCCACACTGTTTTCCACAATGGTTGAACTAATTTACACTCCCACCAGCAGTGTAAAACTGTTCCTATTTCTCCACATCCTCTCCAGCATTCTGTTGTCTCCAGATTTTTTAATGATCGCCATTCTAACTGGCGTGAGATGGTATCTCAATGTAGTTTTGATTTGCATTTCTCTAATGGCCAGTGATGATGAGCATTTTTTCATGTTTGTTGGCCTCATATATGTCTTCTTTTGAGAAGTGTCTGTTCATATCCTTTGCCACTTTTGAATGCAGTTGCTTTTTTCTTGTAGTTCTTTGTAGATTCTGGATATTAGCCCTGTGTCAGATGGTAGATTGCAAAAATTTTTTCCCATTCTGGTGGTTACCAGTTTGCTCTAATGATGGTTTCTTTTGCTGTACAGAAGCTCTCAATTTTAATTAGATTCCATTTGTCTATCTTGGCTTTTGTTGCCATTGCTTTTGGTGTTTTAGTCATGAAGTCCTAGCCTATGCCTATGTCCTGGATGGTTTTGCCTATGTTTTCTTCTCATGTTTTTATGGTGTTAGGTTTTATGTTTAAATCTTTAATTCATCTGTAGTTAATTTTAGTGTAAAGTGACAGGAAGGGGTCCAGTTTCTGCTTTCTGCACATTGCTAGCCAGTTTTCCCAACACCATTTATTAAACATGGAGTCCATTCCCCATTGCTTATTTTTGTCAGGTTTGTCAAAGATCAGATGGTTGTAGATGTGTGGTGTTGCTTCTGGGGCCTCTGTTCTGTTCCATTGGTCTATGCCTCTGTTTTGGTACCAGTATCATGCCATTTTTGATTACTGTAGTCTTATAATATAGTTTGAAGCCCAGCAGTGTGATGCTCTGGCTTTGTTCTTTTTGCTTAGGATTGTCTTGGCTATGTGGGCTCACTTGTGATTCCATTTGAAGTTTAAAGTAGTTTTTTCCAGTTCTGTAAAAAGGGTCATTGGTAGCTTGATGGGGACAGCATTGAATCTATAGATTACTTTGGGCAGTGTGGCCATTTTCACAATATTAATTCTTTCTAACCATGAGCATGGAATGTTTTTCCATCTGTTTGTGTACTCTTATTTTGTTGAGCAGTGGGTTCTCCTTGAAGAGGTCCTTTACATCCTTTGTTAGTGGTATTCCTAGGTATTTTATTCTCTTTGTAGCAATTGTGAATGGGCATTCACTCTTGATTTGGCTCTCTGTTTGTCTGTTATTGGTATATAGAAATGCTTGTGATTTATGCATATTGATTTTGTATCCCGAGACTTTGTTGAAGTTGCTTATCAGTTTGAGAAGATTTTGGGCTGAGACGATTGGGGTCTTCGAAATATACAGTCATGTTGTCTGCAAATAGAGACAGTTTGACTTCCTCCTTTCCTAACTGAATACACTTTATTTCTTTTTCTTGCCTGATTGCTCTGGCTAGAATTTCCAATACTATATTGAATAGGAGTTGTGAGAGAGGGCATTCTTGTCTGGTGCCTGATTTCAAAGGGAATTCTTCCAGCTTTTGCCCGTTCAGTATGATATTGGCTGTAGGTTTGTCATAAATGGCTTTTATCATTTTATGATACATTCCGTCCATACCTAGTTTATTGAGGGTTTTTAGCATGAAGGGCTGTTGAATTTTGTCAAAGGCCTTCTCTGCATCTATTGAGGTAATCATGTGGTTTTTGTCTTTGGTTCCGTTTATGTGGTGAATTATGTTTATAAACTTGTGTATGTTGAACCAGCCTTTCATTCCCAGGATGAAGCCTGCTTGATTGTGATGGATAAGCTTTTTGATGTGCTGTTGCAATCAGTTTGCCAGTATTTTATTGAAGATTTTTGCATTGATATTCATCATGGATATTGGCCTGAAGTTTTCTTTTTTAGTTGAGTCTCTGCCTGGTATTTTTTTAAGCTCTTCTCATGGTTCTAACATGCATCCTCAGTTGTGAATCAGTATATTCTAATAGAAAAAAAAGAGCAGTGGGTTCCCTTTAACATGTGTACAAATATTTTCAGTTTTAACATAGCATCTTTTTTATAATGTGTTTTTCTACATCACAAAATAATTATTTTCATATTGTGGTAAAATACACATAACATAAAAATTTACCATTTTAATCCTTTTAAGCATACATCTTAGAGGCATTAAGAACGTTCAAAAATGTTGTGTAACTGTCACCATTATTTCTAGAGCTTCTTCATCATCCCAAACAGAAATTCTACATCCATTAAACAATAGCTCCACATTTTTTCCATATCACAAGCCCCTGGAGAAAAATAATATTATGTCAAATTGACTAAAAATATTCCTTATACAAAGATACAGTTATTTACTGAACTGTCATTATAACTTTGAACAATTAAGTTGTCTCCAGATATTTTTTTCTAAAACTACAGCAAACATCTGTGAGCATATGTGTGTGTGTCTGTGTGTGTGAGTGTCTATGTGTTTCTACTTGACTCTTTATATCTTCTATTTTTAGGCTGAGATGTTCTGTTTTTTATTTGTTTCAAATGTATGTGCAATTGCTTGCTGGAGCATTTACACAGTCGTTGCAGTAAAGTTTTTATTACATAATACTAAGCATATTTGTATATAAAATATATAATATTATGGACATATATACATGTATGTGTATATATAGCTATATATGAATATGCATGTGTGCATATACATACACATATGTATGTATATATGTGTGCGTGTATATACACACACATATAATATATAATTATATATTTTATATATGAATGTGTTTAGAATTAAGAATATATGTCACTAATTTAAGGATATAAAGTTTATCCTTAAGAGAAACTCCTTGAGGTGAATTATTGGATCAAATGCTTAGTATTTTAAAGCTTTAAAGCTCTTGACAAAATAGCTTGATTAAATCATCGTCATTATTTCAAAAAACTATTTTACCGTACTTTCCGTAAAACTGTCACATTTGGCAGATAATTGATATCTAATAGGTCTGATTTCCCTTAATAAGTTATTAATGAAGAATATACTTCTTTTGCATGTTTATTAGCCACTTCTTATCTTGTGAATTATCAAGACATTCGACTGTTTATCCACTTGAGTTTTACTGTTCATTTTATTCATTTATAAAAGTTTAGCATAGATGTAGACTACTTATGCTTTGTCATTTGTTGTAAATAATATTTCTAGTTTGCTGTTGGATTATTGTGGCTTTTTTCATTTCAAAATACAAAGTGTGAAATATTTATGTGATAAAATCTTTGACCTTTTATGATTGTTTTCTTTTGTTTTTACCTTAAGAAGTTCTTCCGCAAATAGAGAGGTCAATAAATAATTACTTCGTGGCCGGGCGCGGTGGCTCAAGCCTGTAATCCCAGCACTTTGGGAGGCCGAGATGGGTGGATCACGAGGTCGAGAGATCGAGACCATCCTGGTCAACATGGTGAAACCCCATCTCTACTAAAAATACAAAAAATTAGCTGGGCATGGTGGCGCGTGCCTGTAATCCCAGCTACTCCGGAGGCTGAGGCAGGAGAATTGGCTGAACCCAGGAGGCGGAGGTTGCCGTGAGCCGAGATCGCGCCATTGCACTCCAGCCTGGGTAACAAGAGCGAAACTCCGTCTCAAAAAAAAAAATAATAATAATAATTACTTCGTTTTTAGATTCTTTTTTCTTTAGTTTTTTTTTTCCACTTAATTCTTAGGTGTGCCTAGAATTAACTTTGAGGTTTTTGTGTCCAGTGAAAGTAAACCTTTTTCTGTACAAAGAGTTAACCTAGATATTACAAGTCATCTATTTGTTGAAAATCTTTCCTTTTCCTGCTGATTTATTATTGCATCTTAAACGTATACATCAGAAATTAATGTGCTAGTTCTAGCTTCAGGACTAGCTATTCTATTAATATTGCAGGTCTAGCTATTCTATTTCAATTATTGTGCTTTTATTCTTATACCAGAGCTGCAATATTAATAGAATAGCTGTGTAATCATTTCTTTTTAAAAAAAAACTTTTAACTTTTTATTATGGAGAATTTCAAGTATATACAAAGTCAATAGCCATTCTAAAATCACATGTACTCATCACTCAGGTTCAACATAGTTATTTCACTTAAGTTTGATATTTTTAAAAAACAGCATGATTTTTAGAAATACCAAAAATCGCAAAGTATCAAAGATAGGAGACTAACAATCTTACCATTGCATCAAATTCATATATGACTTGGTGTCTATCCATATAATAAGTATAAAATAGATACACATAACATGATAGAGGAAAAATGGTTATTTCAGGAGACCTAGCTAAGGAGAGCCAGTGTAATTGAACCAAAAATACATGAGGATTTGAGATTTCTGAAAGCCAGAACAGAAAAAAAACTAAGTCATATAAGAAACATGAGAGTTCATAAGAAGCGATGAACCTTTTCTTTACATGAAATTCAAAGAGAAATGTTTTATTTAAACAATGCTGAGCAAAATGGGCAATGTCTTCCAAAGCAGTATGTTTTCTTTTCTCAACTTTGGATAAAAACCAGAGTCTGTCTTTAATCACTGTCTTGATTATATTTTAACCAAGAGCTAAAGTAATATCCAGGTATATTACTTTTTAAGGATACTTAGAGAATCTAAGACCTTAAGTCACAGTGTTTCATTAATGGCACTGTGTCATGACTAAAAGGCAGATACACATACAGTTGTTCCTGTATTCGAAAAAATGGGAGGCTGAGACACCCTGCTTTTGACCAGTAATTCTCAGAGCATGGGCTAAGCCTTTTTATGATAGGTGATAGGTGTGAAGTGAAATTTAAATGCGTGTTTTGAGGTCCCACCCAGGTAAGATGGAGGAGGCACACTCTACTCTGGATCTCCCATTGAACACATTATATCTACATAGATTGGGTAGAGCAGTTGTTTGAGGACCCTTAGGCGTAACTAGTAGCAGATGCATTGAGGAAGAAGACTAGACCTTGAAGGCCCACCAAAATGGTAGTGAGCTTATTACCTGTATCCCCTGGCCTGAATACAGTATGCCCTGAAACTCAAATGGGAGCACTGGAGCATAAGCAGCACTCTAGAAGAAGCCTTGTACTACTGGCTTGGGAAGAGAGGAATGCGAACTTCTGACACTCAGAACACAATATGGAAATCCCACTTTCTTTTTTATTTTTTAGATTTTCTTCTCAGTTTTCTCTCATCCTATCCCCTGAGCAATCCAAGGCAGGCAGTGACAGAGAGTACAGCTGGGGCTAGCAGGAACCAAAACTCTAAGGGAAGGACACCTTGCTTGCCCATCGATGGAGTGGTGATCCCAAGAGAGTGGGACAACCCCTCTACTGCATCTTATTCTTTCTCTATCCTCCTGCCACAAGGGCCTGGATATTTGAGCAGTTGCAGACATGCGTGGCAGAAAGTAACTGAAGCCCCAGCTATCAGGCCAGAAAGCCAAAAATAGGAACACTAGGAAGCTGAAAGTACCAGAGGGGGAGCTCAGGAAGGCAACCCCATAGCTCTTTATGAACACTTGTAAGCTGCACACTACAAGGACTCACTGTAAGCTGCACATTCATGAGTCTGATCCTAATCAGCAAACCAAAAAACTTTGAGAATTGAATGAACATGTAGACTATGGCCAAAGTCTCTAACCACTGAGTGACACACATATGGGACACATCAGAATTCCACTGCCAAGTCTTTAAAAATGGAAATGAGAAGGTTCCAGATAGCTGAACATGTGGAGATTCCCAGAGGGTGGCACATCCAGGAAGGCATGCAAGCTCTGTTCCCCTCCCCCTATACCTTCCCCTATGTGTCTCTTCATCTTTATCCTTTGCAATATCTCGTACAATAAACTGGTAAATGTTAAAAAAAAAAAAGAAAGAAAGAAGTAGAAGGAGAAAGAGAAAGAGAAGGAGGAGGAGGGAAAGAAGGAGAAAATGAAGAGGAGGAGGAGGAAGTATTGGAGAAAGAGAAGGAAGAAGGGAGAAAGGGAGAGAAGAAGAAAAAGGACGGAAAGAAGGAGAAGAAAAGGTAGAAGAAAAAGGAGGAAGAGAAAGAAGGAGAAGAAGTAAAAAAAGAAGAGGTGGAGGAGGAGGAGGAAGAAGAAGAAAGAAAAAGAGACAGAGGAGGAGGAAGAAGAAAAGAGGAGGAAGGAGGAAGAAGGGGGGAGGGAGCAAAGGAAGAGGAGGAGGAGGAGGAGGAGGAGGAGAAAAGAAAATGGAAACTACATTGGCGGCAGTTCCCACAGGTAGAAGTTGGAATTTGTGGTCTGAACCTAACCAGTTTGCCCACCAAAGCAAAAATTTTAACAACTTTCATCAAATTTAAATAAGACACAGAGTTTTATAATATAATATTCAAAATTCCCAGAATATAACCCAAATTACTGGGCACACAAAGAATGAGAAAAAGCTTAAATTACATCAAAAAGCACTCAACTGACATCAACACTACAATGACATAGATACTGAAGTTATCGGACAAAGACTTTACAGCAGCTACTATAAAAATGCTCCAACAAGCATCACAAATACACTTGGAATAAATTTAAAAAATAGAATGTCTGGTAAATGAAGAATAAAAAGAACCAAATAGTAATTTTAGAACTGAAAAATACAATAACAAAAATTAATAACTCATTGTATGGGATCAACAGCAGATTGGAGGTGACAGAAGAAAGAGTTAGTGAACTTAAAAGTAGAGCAATAGAAATTAATATACACGATAAAGAGAAATATATAAAATATATAAATGTGTGGTGTGTGTGTATATATATATATATATATATATATATATTTTTTTTTTTTTTTTTTTTTTTTTTTTTTTTGAGACAGAGTTTTGTTCTTGTTGCCCAGGCTGGAATACAGTGGCAGGATCTCGGCTTGCCACCACCTCTGCCTCCAGGTTCAAGCAATTCTCCCACTTCAGGCTCCTGAGTAGCTGGGATTACAGGCATGTGTCACCACACCTGACTAACTTTTGTA